CAAAAAAAAAAAATTGTTTATACTTTGGCCCATTAGTTTAACTTTTGTAAACTGTTCTAAGGAAGAAAATTCAAAATAATGAATATATGTATGAATGTGTCCTTTGCAGCAAAAACTGTAAATGACTTAATGTTCAGCAAAGAGAAAAATGAGCAAACATGCTGTATTCATATGCTGATTAAGCAGCTGATAAAATTCATGCTTTTAAAGAGTTCATGAGAACATAGGAAAATGCTTAAGTGATATTATTAAATGGAAAAAAGACTATAAACATGTATAAAATTTTTAATTTCAACTTACCTAAAATACTGGAAAAATAGGTTGATATTTTATATTTATATTTGCTTAACAATGTGAGCTGAGGGTGGGGGAATTATTCTTTTCTTCCTACGTTAGCTTTCAAATTTTCTACCACAGACACCTATCAGTTTTATAAACTTTATTACTATGTTTACTTTATTATCACACTAAAGTCTATTGTTATAAACTTCATTTCCCCAGATTCAGCTGTGACAACTGCTGGCCCTCTCTGTCTTGGCAAAGAACTTTGTTCCTAGGCCTGCCCTTCCCCTGTGGCCTCTGGACCCTGCTGCTCTTTCCTCCCCCCTCAGACTCCAGAAGACCCTGCCCACCAGCTCTCCTCCCTTGAAGGCCAAATGCAGCAGGAGGCAGGCCCCCCATTAGCATCGGATGGCAAAGCCCACCAGGGCTAAAGAGTGCCTGGGTGCACTCCAGCAGGCAGAAACCGGCTGCACCCACTGCCTACACCTGCTTTCTGCCCCTCAGGACAGGGCCTCCCACTCCCTACCCCCTGCATCCAGGGTGTGGCACTTCTCAGAGGCAGCACCCAAGGTTGGCTGGGGTTGGTGCCTCTGAGAACCGGCCACCTGTCTTTTCTAGGCTTTAAATTAACAACAGTTCCTGTTTCCTGTCTTAGGCAGCAGTCTTGTCAGCCAAGCTCCCTCCAACCCTGAGAAAACTACCTTGCATAGGAGCAGGTGGTGGGGTGAGTTTTCTGCCATCCACACCAGTGGAAATAGCAGTCATTTTTTCTTTACAAATTCACAGACTTTCCTCTCCCTTCCCTGCAAGAACATTTTAAGAAAGCATTTCTGCCATTATTTTCACTATTTACCACCATGAGTGTGACTCCTGCAGGCCTAAGGAAACCTTGGCTCTACCGGCCACGCCCAAGTAAGCTTGGGCCAGCTCTGTCCTTGGGTAAGACAGGAATTGGCCACTTCCTTTCAAGTCTCTGCCTCCCTCCAGCGCCTGGGGCTCCTAGCAAGCGTCTTGCAGCCGAGGAAGGCTTGTTCCACGCTCAGTTTCGCTGGATCCGGACTTTCGCTGCCGCTAGGGCCCGCAATGGACTACCTCCTCCAAGATGCTAAGGAGCCTCCTCTCATCTACCACACTGCCCCTGAGCCATACCACCCGCCTTCCGAGACGCCCACGTCCTGGCGACAGAGTTCACCAGTCCACGCGTGCCTGAGGGGAGACGTGGGTACTTTGGCTGAGGATGTGACGCAGGGGCAGAATGGAGGTGAGACGCAGACATCGGGCCTGGGGTGCAAGTCTGCAGGTGAACTCCCTGCAGGTGTGGGGGTTGAGGCCTAGAGATTCTGGGGTCTGGAGGAAAGGAGGGGAGGGGGGAAGGGAGCGCGGGGAAGGGGGTCACCAACCCTTCTGTGTCTCAATTTCTCCGTCTCTAAGTGAGAGACAAAAACAGAACCAAAGGTGGTGTGAAGAGCACAATAGTGAACATTTGTAAAGCGTTGGTAATTCTTGCCAGCAAACGGCCAGGTTTCTGGTAGTGACTGCTAACGTGTGGTCTGCGCTTCCGAGCCCTGTCGCGGGGCAGCAGGGTGGGGTGGGGCGCCCTTCCAGACCACGCCTCGCCACCCGCTCCGAGCCAGCCCGCGCCTCCTAGAGCCACAGACCTTGCCAGGGGGGCTGGCGCATCTCTCCGCCCCGAAGTGGTGGTGCCACGCTGTGTTAGGGGAGGAGGGATCTCTGAGAGGTTTGGAAGAAACACCTAAACCCAGGAAATGATCCCAACAGCACCGATACGGGGTGGAGATGTGAGCGCCACCCGCTGGACGGGAGAAGCCTAGGAGGGCCCCTGTAGGAAGGCTCGCAAGGAGCCGGCCTGCAGACCTGGTCTGGGTCTAGCATCACTTTCTTCGAGCACTGCAAGACCTGTATTAACCTGTGCAGGTCAGTGCCCTGGGGCGCCAACCTTATCATGGCCCTCTCTTGCTTCAGAGACCCTCAGTAGCTCCCCATTGCCTTCAGGATGGAGACCAAGGTCCAGTCCCGGCGTGCCCTACTCACTGGCACCCTCACCCGCATGTTCAGAGGACCGCCACCGTGAGGCTGGCTGCCCCACCCGGGCGACTTCACGTGGATAAAGCCAGGGCCTGGGGTAGGGTTAGACCACGGGGCAAGCAGAGGGCAAAAGCCTGGCTTGGGGAAGCCCCAGAGTGCCTCTTGCCTCTGCCCGGCCTGCGCGTCCCTGGCGGTTGGGAGGCTCCACGGAGCAGGCAGGGGCTGAGATGCAAGGTCCCCTCACAGTAAGCCTCCAGGGCAGACACGAGGGTCAGCTTATTGTGCTGCAGTGCACGTGTCATGCAACTCGCTCGTCTTTGTGCACTCACGGGTCTATGCAGCCAACGCCACAACCATTTAGAGCATCCGCAGCCCGGGGACAAACCTCCAGGTGGCAGTTCTCAGCCTTGGCACCGCTCATCTCATTGCTATGACCAAAGACTAATTCTCCGGACGTTTCACAAGCAGGTCATACAAGGAGTGGCCTTTGCGGCCGGCTTCCTCCGCTGCGCACCGCTCTACGGGCCGCTCGTCACAGGGGCAGCGCGCCCCGGCCCTCCTGCGCTCCCCGGGACGTGTGAGGCTCGCACAGCGGTGCTGGGGAGCGGCAGAGCGGGGATCCTTTGGGTCTGCGCACAAGGCTCAGGCTGGCAGCTCCGGAGGCCGGATCTGTACCAGCGGTTTGTCAGCCAAGCCTGCTGTGTTCGCACCATTCTGGCCGCCCAATTCCACGAGTCCCCGGGAAAGAGCTACCCAACTGGCACGTGGGCGCAGGCTCGGGGCGCCCCACGGGAGATGCTGCCGGTCCTCGTGGCCCGTCGGGCCCGGGGCTGGCACTGCCGCAGGGCGGGCCCTGCTACCTAGCAACCGGGGGCGTCCTTCCCAGCGAGCTCTGCTAAAATACGCTACGCACGGACTACGAGGCCCAGCGTGCCCCGCGCGGACTACAAGGCCCACAATGCACCGTCCACCCCTTACTTGCCAGCCCCGCACTGTCCTCTTGAGACCCCGACCGGCGAGCGCACGACCCCTTCCCGGCGCTCCTCGCGCGGGTGACCTGGGTGTGCGTGGGGTCAAGGCGCCCGGCAGAGCGGCTCCGGCCTAAACGCCATGCGGAGGAGCGAGCGCAGGGCTGCCGAGTGTCCGCGGCCGGGGTCCCCGGTGACCGCGGGCAAGGCTTCGCTGGAAGAATCGCCCGATGGCCTAGCGGAGGGGCCGGCCGTGGGCCGCCGCAGCACCGAATCCGAGGTCTACGACGACGGCACCAACACCTTTTTCTGGTGAGGGTCTGCGGCGCCCAGGCCTGTGCAGCCCGGTCGCGCCTGGCCTGGGTCTCCTGCGGAGCGCGCCCGGGCTCGGGGCCAGAGGCTGCGCCGGGCTGCGGGGGGCGTGGCGGACATCCACACCCGCAGGCCGCGCTGGGGCCGGGTGCGGCCTCGCCTCTTGCCCGCCGTTCCGCCACCCACCTCTTTGAAAGGTCTGGCTCCAGGCAGTTCGGAAACGTTCTCTGGCCTCTCCGTCTGAAGCCCATCTGCCCCTCCATCATGTTACCTCTCCTGCTGTTTCAGTCACACCCAGGTCACCCGCGCGGCACCTGTGGCCGCGTGAAACCTTCTTGATTATTGTTCCCTTGCCCCTCGCGTGGCGGTCATGTCCACTAGCATGAGTGTCGCACTGTGCTTCGGAATTTAGTCAGTGTTTGCTGAATAAAAGCTTTGCGCCTCCCTTGACTGGCCCCTCACTGGGCCAGCACTAACTCCCTGCTCTGCTCAGCCGGGTACCCCTACTCTTGGACGGGGAGCCGCCCCCCCCCCCCATCCCCTTGGAGGCTGTGTCCCCGGCCTGGCTCCTCCTCTCAAGGCTGACCTTGGGCTGGACCTTGGTTTCCTCATTCATGAGGGGAATAAAGCCCAGACTCCAGAAAGCTTCTTGAGAAGAAGGGCGAGCTTTTCTTTCCCGCGGTGCTCAGTTCACCACCTGACCCACAGCCTTGCAGTCCGGTGCCCGGCCCAGGGCACAGGTGGACTGTGGGGAGACAGACGGCATAGCCAGCTGTGGGTAGAAGCTATGTGGCCGCAGATCCCAAGCTCTGTGGTCAGCAAACGGCAATGTGGAGGAGGCAAGGAGAGCCTGCCAGGGAGAGCCAGCTTCTCCTGGGAAGGCTCCACCACACAGGGGGAGACTCCAGAGAGGCCCTGACCTACCCTGGCTCACACCATTGGCTTGCAAGCGGTAGTAGCAGCTGATGTTCTCCTGGCAGCTCCATGTCGGACCCTATGCAGGGTCTTGCCTGGGGGCATAGGCAGCTGCTGCAGGGGAGGGGGCTGCTGAGCCCATCTCTGGGGAGGTGATGGCGCTCTAGTGGTTGTGTTGAAATAACTTAGGGAACCGGGAAAAATACACTTGGACCCCCACTTAGGTTAATTAATTGGTAATTTATTTTACCTGTTGCAAGGGCTGCTGCTCTGAGAGACAGCAGCCCAGGTGTGAGGGTGAGTTGCCTTTTATAGGCTTTGTGCAAGCATATTACAGAAGCAAAACGTGGCTGGTTAAGGGAGGGTTACAACTTGGGTAGTCATGGATATAGCAGTGGAACAATAATGTAGTTTCGGTTGACAATGGATATATCTCGTATCACAATGGTTATGGTTATACAACAGTAATTAATCGAGTCTCAGTGAGTTTTCCACCATTCTTCATCTACTGAGAACTTGGGGGTTTTGTGAACCTTGGGACTTTTCTTCTTTGTACCTGAAGCTTGTTCTTGGCAACCCTAGGGGAAGGAGGGGGCCTGGGAATGTGGCTGGGAAGCACTGTTCTCAGCCACCATGGGAGGAGAAGGGACTTGCCTTGTTCGGGTGTTAACTCTGGGGGGAGAATGAAGGAGGAGGGAAATGGGCTGGGGGGGGGCAGGTGAGGGCTGGGGAACAGGAGTGGGCAGGGGAAAGAGGGCTGGGTTACAACATTTCCCACTCCTCTTCTTGGCAAATTAAATCTTTAATTGAAGATGATGGCTGAGGGGCTTGGTGGTTAGTGTTGTGGTCCTCTTCTCTTCAACTTTATTGGTTAAGTTGGGTCTCTGGGTTGGAGGTTGTGTAGCTATTACAGTAGAATGCAGTTAATTATCCAAGTGGCTAATTCAGTCTCTCTTAGTTTTTAGGAGTTTCTGTTAGCAGAGGATTGATGAAGTTTTTTGAACAATACTGATGGCAAGGCTTACATTTAATTAAAGTTTGTTTCTTGGCAGAGTTTATTATTTTTTGCTTTTATGACTTTGTTTATACATATTACAAAATTTTAATAGGTGACTTTTGTTGAGCCCAGTTCTTAAGTCCTATTTAACATTATTTTAGTACAGACTAGGTTGGGATTTAATATAGGTGAGTTACAGCCTTTTTTCGCTTTGAATTAATTTTTTTTCTCTCCAATTTTTCTTTTTACTAAAGACAAATTATAGCAGAACTAATTTAGTTGTTAAGATAAACTGTATCTTCAGTATACTGATTATTTGCATAAAGTGCAGTAAGAATAATTATTATCTGGACTTTTAAAAATTGGCTTTGCTGGAAGTTTTTATAAGGAATTTTTAGGTTAGACCCTTTAAAAGCCTCTCATGAGCCCAGGTTTTATCTGTGCCGTTTGATACTTGTATGCATTGGGTAAATTCTTCTTTTGAGGTTCCCAAGCATATTTTGACCCCCAGATCTGTCAGGAAGTTACCTTCGTTACTTACTACAGATCAGGAAATGTTACTGATGGGTACCTGGCCAGTTTTCCAGAGGGCTTTTTTTTGGCTTCATAAAGTTAACCTTAATTCCTTAACACAGTCTGGACATTTCTGGAAACGCTCTTCCAGCCAAAGCCTTGGTAAAATAACCAGTGTCTTCATTATATTTTATAGAACAAAACAAATTCTTATTGAACTTATGCAAATAACTGTATTGTTAGAAATTAAGAATATTTACAAATGACTTGTAAAGTTGGAGAAATTAAGCAGAGAGAAAAAAATATATTTTAAACTCTGCTTATAAGTATATACATTGCTTGAGATATTACAAATAGCTCAAAAGACAGAAAATTATTTTCTTGACTTCTGGAAAACAGAACACAGAAAGAACCAACAATATTTCAAACAAAAAGCTATAATAAACTAGTTTAGTTTTACGTAACTGATTTCTGTTCTGTTTGAAACTAGATTAGCAATACTTGTAGACATGATAACCTTTTAATGAAAGTTTTAAAAATCCGAAAGTACTTAATTTTTAAAAACATTAGGAATTTGAATTCAAGCGAATTCCTCAGCTTTTAATATTTTTCTTTTTTAGGATGAACTTTGAACTTAGTTGCATAAAAAACACTTTTTTTGATGAATTAAAATTATTACTGACAGTACATGTTAGGACAGACTAATGTTTTACAATATCGGAATATATATATAACTATAATTTACACAAAATTAATTACCATTTCGTATCTGACAATGTTTCTCATACGCTTTTTTTTTTGAGACAGAGCCTCAAGCTATCCCCCTGGGTAGAGTGCCATGGCATCACGCTCACAGCAACCTCCAACTCCTGGGCTCAAGCG